ATTATAATGCCCCCATGGCTGAAAGGGCAAGCATGTTTGGTGGGACGGGGATTCAAACCTGCGACCCGCAGATTGTGAGTCAAGTGCCCTAACCACCTGGCCATGCCGGGCCTACTCAAACTGAAATACTTACTTTGTTTTGTACTTCAGATGGTTGAGCTTAGTGTACAGATACTTACCATCATCCTGTAAGCATTTTGCTTCTGTTCTTGACTGGAAATTCACAACTACTTTCTTGGCATTCATTGTACAGTTGTATTCTGGAATTCCTAACAAAAAAACAAAAAAAAAAGTTAAAACTTTGCTATTTACAGATTATAGTTAGCCAGACATACAGAAATATTAATCAGTAATCAGTTTCATCGAGCAAAATTCTGTTGGAGAGTCAGATTACTCTAAGTTATATTACAATATCATTTTGTGTGTCTAGACAATATATATTTATAATTCCAGCTGTATACCAACCTGATAAACCTTTGAACTAGCTGTACGTTATCTCTGTTGGATTGAAGAAAGAAGTCCTGTTGCTGAACAGAACTATTTTGGAGTCACACTACTCTAGGTCATGTGTAGATCCTCAGTTCATTCAGGTTACAGTCATGAATATATATGAGCATCGACTGAAGCAATAAAAAAATAATACCAACTCCCTATTATCTGGACAAGCTTAGCTGCAGTAACCTCTAAATGTCAGGTACCTACCATATGGCCACACCAAGTGGTAGGTATAACCATAATAAACTATCTATAATCTTTGGCATGTCAGATTTACAGAATCAGTAACCATTCTAAGTCTGTGGTGTGTCACACATATAGAAACAGTATCCTTTCTAAGTCTCTGTGGTGTCAGACATGCAGAATCAGTAACGTCTCTGTTTTGGTCTGCAGTACGTCAAACAAACAGTCAGTAAATTTCAAGTCTATTGTGTGTCACACATGCAGAATCAGTAACGTTTCTTCTTAGGTCTGCAGTATGTCAGACAAATAGTCAGTAAATTTTAAGTCAATGGTGTTTCGGATATGAAGAATCAGAAACCTTTCTACAAGTTTGTCCGTAACGTTTATTTGTAACATATATAAAAACATGGTATAAAATAAAACAAAATGTGATGATGTAAATATTCATTTACATAAATTGTGAAAACACAGCAGAATGGAATAGTAAGAATTTAGAGTACATATACATTTGAAATACAACGTAAAGAACAGTGGGTAGTGTGTAGTTATGAAATAAAAGAATAATAAAATATGTTTTCTTCAATTACTAAAAAAAGAATGATATTCATTGTACATCTTACTTGATTAAATATTCAATCTTAATTATTATTTTTCTTATCTGAGTTTGATAATTATGAAGAGAAAACATGTATAAGTAAGATGGAAATAACTATGAACCACACTAGATGTAATCTAATCTTTATAAACAAACATGACCATAAAAACCTAATTAATGGAAAATACAAATATGTACAAAAAAGTACTATTTATCATTCATCTCCAGTATTATCCAAAGTTCTAAGAATAATGTAGTGGCTCAATGAATTATTAAATAAAAACTTAATTTTTACCTTTCGAGAATATCTCCACAAAAGTATTGGCTCTTTCCAAATCTGGGGTGACGAAGAGATAGTCATCAACAATCCTCATCAGCAAATCTTCCTCAAAATTTACAGAGCTGTGAATATACTGTTGTTCCAGCTCGGCCAGGTAGAGGTTGCACAGGATCGATGATAGGGCACCACCTTGACTGATACCTTTGCAAAGATGGTAGTAACATTTTCCTGTCTGGAGAACAAAGAGTTAGCACATTTCAATAATTGATAACTTCCAGTACTTTACAGTACACAAATATGCAATTTTGAGGTGTAGTTATTTTTGTTTCAAGAAACTTATCTAAACTATATTAAGCTTTAGAAAACTTGGCTAAACCAAATAGTCATAAAACACCAGAGGGAACAAGTACCTTGATGAAGCAATTGTTAATGTAAGCTTCTAGCAGTTGGATTTGTGCTGCGTGACTGAGGAATTCGTCGTAGCCCTATAAATATCATACAAATTGAAAGCAGTTAATAGATTATTAATGAAAATTTCTGAGTGAAAGTAAAGAACAGTGTATAATGATGGATCAACCATACTATATCTAGTACTGATGAGACCTTTTATATCAACACTAGAGTTCTTTAGGCCAGCTTGGATACAACAAATAGAGTAGTAGCTGAAAGTAAAGTGTATAATAATGTTCTATATCCAGTCTTGATGAGACCTTTTGCATAATACCAGGGCTCTTCAGGCCAGCTAAAGAGAAATGATAATAGTTGAAAGTATTTGTTTGTTTGTTTTGAATTTCGCGCAAAGCTACACGAGGGCTATCTGCGCTAGCCTTCCCTAATTTAGCAGTGTAAGACTAGAGGGAAGGCCGCTAGTCATCACCACCCACCGCAAACTCTTGGGCTACTCCTTTACTAACGAATAGTAAGATTGACTGTCACATTATAATGCTCCCACAGCTGAAAGGGTGAGCATGTTTGGTGGGACGAGGATTTGAACCCACGACCCTCAGATTGTTAACCACACTATACCCAGTGCTGTCAAGGCCTTCAAGCCAACTGAGATACAACAGATGTAAGAGAAGTTAAGAAACTATTTATATCATCAAATTGCTTGAACAACTGTTTGTTTATGAGCTGGATTAAGTTGGTGATTAAGTGTAAGTGTAATTTTTTATCAATTCTACTTAAGACACTACATATCAGAAACGATTTTTAACACTATATTATTTATTTGTTTAAACACCATATACTATTAATGATTATTTTAGTAAATGAACTTGCCTAATAAGGGAAATACTGACCAACAAAACTAACCCAAGTCAGACATTCAGATTTTATAAACTAAGCCTGTTTCTTCTGTATTATTTTAATACAAATTTTATATTAAAATAATACAGAAGAAACAGGCTTCAATTATTTTTTTCAGTAGCATTACTTGTGGTTTTCTTTAAAATTTCAGGTTTCATGTGGCAAGAAAATTTTTATTTCATTGTGGTATATAACACCTTATGGTAATGAAGCCCAATCTATAGATAACAGTTTGTGTGGCATCATAATAAGATATATAATAATAGCATCTTGCCTGCACACATGGCCTTTTTCTCAATACCTGAACTCACCAAGTCAGCTGGGCATGCAACAGTGATGTGAGGAACACTACATGTGTGTACAAGATACTATTATATTCCACATACAACCAAACAATAGATTTTCTTCTGTTATTTAATAGTTTTTACTTTTAAAAACACTTGTACATTTGTAGAAACTCAGCTTGTTAATAATGACAAAAATGAGATTATTAATCATTTAATATATATATAAATAAAATATGACTAAATACTCATTACAAATGATAATAGTAATGTTAAAATTAACTAAATACTGATTAAAAAACTATGTTAATATCTCTATGTTTAAGGAAGCTCACTTTCTATTACATTGTTGTTAACACCTCTAAATTTTAAATAAATTAACTTTTCATAATAGTGACATCACTATATTTTAAGGAAGATAACTCTTCATCATCAGATTGTGAATATCTTTATGTTTTAAGAAAGAAAACTTGTCATTACCAGGCTGTAAATATCCTGTAATTATAAGGAAGTTAATTCCTCATTACACAGTTGGTTAAACCTGTAATGCTGTATTTAATAAAAACAAGCTTAATAATTTAAAAAAGATGTTTCTTAAGTAAAAAAGTCAAATGTTCAAAATACTATTTCTACTTTAAGTGAGAATTTCTCACATTTCAAAGTAGCGTTGTAAATATGCAGACATACCATTGTGCCACTGGGGGCACACATTTCAAAGTAGCGTTGTAAATATGCAGACATACCACTGTGCCACTGGTGGCACACATTTCAAAGTAGCGTTGTAAGTATGCAGACATACCACTGTGCCACTGGGGGCACACATTTCAAAGTAGCATTGTAAGTATGCAGACATACCACTGTGCCACTGGGGGCACACATTTC